AATACATATTTGTGCTTTAAGTTTTTGAACCAAGGACGGTACAGCAATTGGCTGTCTGTACAACATGCAAACCATAAATATACGTTAGCACTTTGCCACTAGAACCATAATAAAGAGAGCAGGGCTGGAATAAGAAAAACGGGAAAGAAACACTGCAGCGATGATGCAGCAAAACAGACAACGCTTTACTCCTCCTGCTCACTTTGAAGTGCACTAATGCTCAGTGTATCCTGCAGCTAGGATCTCAAGTCCTCAGACATTACAAACACAATCCGAGCTAACAGACATTCACTCTTCTGCATTCGTAAGTGATAGAAATGTTATTCAGTTTGTCTAAAATAAGATATAGTAAAGCACTTTGTGTAGCCACCACATACACATTTACATGGGATATTTGATATACTGTATATTCTGTTTGCTGGAAGACGTACGTCAAAAAATGGAAAAAAAAAGGAAATCTAAATTAGATTCTAAGGAAACAGTCGTGATGTGGTAACACTCCAAGTAGCAAACCCAAATAGTTTGCAAATACAGTTTGACCCTACTCTGACATCACGCACAGCCAGAGATGCAAATGAGAAAATCACCACCCGATGTTTGCATGTGCTGCTCTGATGGATCGACTCGTGTCTGAGGTACATCCTGTCCTTTCTCCTCTAGAAATGTCGCCATCGCAGACCCGTGTGCTAATGATGTGTGAACGCGACGCTTAGGTCGCAGGGAAACGCTGAAGGACAGCTGCGATTTCATGAATTCATCAGCAGAGCAGCAGCGTCACTCCGCTCATCTCCTCTCTGCTCCGTCAGCCTTTGATGAGCTGCTCTGTGGGCTCCTCCCGTGACCCACTTTCACTCCCACTCCTCTCTCCCAGACACATCCAACATCCCTGCGCGGCTCCCTCGCCACCTCTGTCTGACACTTGCTAATGGGATTAGGAAAAAAAGACACTTTTCCCTGTGGTGGAACAGCCTCTGAGGTAAACTCAACAGGCACTGCGCATATTACCAACCACTGCTCCACTTCCTACCCAGATAGCTTCAGCTGCTAGGAGGGAAAATGAACAAATCTAAAAAAAGTATGGTTGGTTATCTGCCACAGTAAATGGTAAGAGGAGATGAATTAATAAGGCACTGCAGGTATTGCAAAAATGTTGGAAAAAAAGGTTTGTCTATGACTAAACTACTCAAACAGCGTGGGTACTGTCGGGTCAGACTTTAAAATCAACAAATTCTCTTCTATTCAGAGCACTCTCTGCTCTTTTAACCAAACACGGGAATTGGAGGCAAAAAAGTTTGAGGTTACTTCATCTGAAGTAATTGACAAAACATCCTGAGGCTGAAACTCCTCCGACACATCCTCACAGTCCGTCATTAGAGCTGAAGTGAAACCAAAGGAAGCTACACGCAGCTAAATCAGAGGTAACAAGCCTCTGGTTGCTTATATAAGGGCCTCAATAAATGAAGAGTGATGGTGGCATACGCCTTCATGTATCCTTCTGTTAAGGCACCATCGCCCGGTAGATCAGCCACAGTAAGAAGGAAGTTCCCCCTCTAACCACCGGCCAATCCATCAAAACGCTCTGCTGGTGTTTGCCAAACCACTTCAGCATCGGAACACATGACAAAAGAACACAAACTGTGGAGTGGGCATCAGGAGCTGGAGGGTAAACACTTTACCTTCTGGACCACAAGTCATTTTTATAACTGGCTTTTTATAAAGAGCCGGCCAAAAATAACTAACCACAAAGCCATAATAATTATGTGGCACAGTGTGAGAAAACACTGATGCAATGAGCCTAAATCATGAATTGTAACGCCGCTCTGTTAGACAGAGGCTCGATTCATAGTGTGTCTCAAAGCCGGAGCATGTGAGTGAGACACTGACCTCAGATAACACAAACATGTTTGGACATTATACATCCAGACAGAACAGACAGATAAACAGAATAGACTTCATAATCAACTATGATTCTGCTCCAAATCTGCTGTCTGATTATGAAGAGCGCACAAAGAGAAGGAGAAAAAGGTACATGAACATGGAGTGTAACCCTAACAGAGATTTATTGTGATATAACCCACAGTACAGACTTGCTTTTAGCATGTTGCTTGGCAACAAGTCAGGCATGGCTTCACCTCAATTTCAATGAATTCCTTTTTCTGTTGGATACTGTCATTTGCTATATAGTGATGTATTAGCAATAGAGTTGTTCTTTACCTACAACACAAGCACTGGACATGCAAACAAATGAACACCTAAACATCATCAATCCACATATACTACAAAATATAAACCAAGGACATGAACTGAAGTAAACTAATTAAAGCTGAGGTCATGAGACAATTTGTGGTGGAGCATCAGGACAGTCACATGATATTCAGGCGAATTAAAAACATGACTAAGAAACTTATGGTTTCATCATGAATACATTGAATGCTTTGCACTAAATGCACTAAAAGATGCACCTTTTAAATAAGGGAGGACTGATAATTAACCAATACACTTTTGTAACTTGTTATTTCATTGAAATAATCTAGAAATGGTGACCGTAATCACTTTAAGGCGGCCTCTATTGCAGAGAACATGCTGTACATTTTGCTATAATTGATTCTAGTCGGTGTATTCAGTGCCCCTGCAGAGAAAGTGTGACGGCTACTGCAGCCTTGGTCTCAGCTTTACTTTGATTTCTTCTTCAAGCTCCAACTGAACTGTTTAAAAGAGCCGATTGTTTCTTCCAGAAAGCTAGAAAAACACGGAAGAAATCTCCAATCGAGGCTGATAATCTTGTCTGACATGTACTCAGTTTGCACATTTCATTCCAATGTCACAAACAGCCTCGTTGGAACCTTGTCAGTCGCCTTTATATTAATTGGATGCATATTTGGAAGTCCCTCTCTGGTCACCTCTAAACCTCCATAAAGTCATCTTTGTGCATCAAAAGTGAACATTTAGATTATTTCTTTTTCTGTGTGAAAATACCTTTCGGCCTTAAAGCGACTTAGACGCAACTCTACACTGTTACTTTCTCCAGAATGTGCGTATGTATGAAATCCCCGCCTTTCTCTTCACCCACCTCTCCCCATTTGCTGCAGCTCTGCACCACCTACAACTCTGCTCAGATGCTGTTGAACTACTCTATGCTACACGATGGCAAGTTGCAGTAATTCAGCCACACATATCAGAAACTGATTCTTATTAAGAAATAAAGATGGAGAGAGTCCCACCCTACAAGTTGACAGGATTGGTTCCTTAATGATTGTCATGTACGAAGCCCCTCACATCAGAGTTTGCGAGACTGTAGTCAGTAAACTGCAGGTTCAAGGTGCTCTGCAATGACGTTAACTGTTTATTTCCTCAGAATAAGTGTTCCAGCAAACAAAAACATAAGGACACGTTAAAAAAAACAAAAACCTGGTCTAAAATCTCCCAAATGTGTGAACCAATAGGTGTGATATTTTAATGACTTGTGAATCATCACTTAACACATAAATAATTAAATGCTGTTGTGCCCTATTGCAGTGCTCTGCTAAATGGTATTTTTCTCCTGCATGTAAGACTTAAGGCAGCACTAATTAACAGTCCTGCTGGGAACTGCGAGCTAATTAACACGACCCTAAATACAAAACAAGGGTGACAGACGTATTCATAAATACCTATCAACCAGCCGAGTGCCAATAATCAGCTCTCAGAGAGATACAGAAACACACGCTTAAGGATGAGGAAGCATCTAAAGAAGCTGAGCTGAAACCTGCTGCTTATATCACCAAAGTGAGTGTCAGCACAGCCGCGGTCGCTATAAATATACATGAACCCGTTTACCAGCAGGGCCCAGCCTCCTGCAGGCTAACATTGTTTTAGGTCCGGCTTCTGGCATCAAATTGCAACTTCCCTCTCTGTGTGGTTGAAATGGCAGTGGCCCAGTGGCTGATGGGCAACCGAGTGGCCAGTGTGCACTAGTAACTTTTCCTGAGTCTTCACATCTGGCAGGATGCAGAAAACCAACATTATTCTTTCTGATGCACTTTGTCACGAGTCTGCTCCGTGTTGAAAAGAGCACAATGACATTCAGTCACACTCTCAGAAAGGTGCGAAGGCTGCCGCAGCAGAGAAAGAAACCAAAAGGTGCGCAGGTTCTGGCCAAATAAGCACGGCTCTGTATGGCATGTTTTCACCAGATGAGTCACAGCTTTTGGGAACAATTGAAGCCCTCGTCACTCTGACGTGTCAGGATAATTGAGGCAGCTGCTTCTCTAAACTGCTGCTGGTCAATCAGCCAGAGGCCGGGCTGTACAACAAGTGAGCACCCTTCTGTTCCTTGTCAGGCTGAAAGGAAATATTTACCCAGATCACCACAGAACCTATGCTGGCTCCAGAGCAAATAAACATGCACTCAGGCAAGACAAACTGAATAGCTCTCAGCTCTGGGTACGGTTACAGGCAGCAACTATTAAAAGTGCCCTTAAAGAGGAGCTTCAGTGGTCTATTTACATGGAAGTTTGCTCTGTAATGCTGCTTCGGCGTTGACGACTGGCAGAAACGGAGAGCTGTTGTGACATTTTGACAGTACAGTAAATTACATGTAGATTTGCCAGTTAGAAACTTTCTGGCAGTTCCTCAGTATGGCACGGGGCTATAAGGCACTTCACCAATTAACTATGCTGTACTTCACACACGTAAGACTAATGTCAGAAACTATACAATGTCACTGTACAACAGTCACAGATTTGTAAATATACCTTCACCAAATTTGGCAACCTGTAATTCCTATAAATACCAGACTGGCTGAAAGACAAGGCACTTAACTTATGAATGTACTTAAAGCCGTCCTTTAAAAACATACAAAACTGAAGGACAACCTGACACCACAACAATTCATCTTTCAACAAGCACAGACATCTGGCTCCGAAAAAAAACCCAGCTCCCTGAACCATGCTGGCAGAACATCATAAGTTCACTACTTATCTCCCCGGCCCTAGTTTTTTCCTTTGTGAAATGCAACCCACCCAGTTTGGGAAAGACAATGAGGTATTCTGCATTGCACTGAGGACATGCCACGCGCGCCGTGCTGTTGCCTCGCTGCTTCTCGTCCACCCAGCGCTGTAGGCAGGCCTGGTGGACCCACTTGGTTGAACCACGGCAGCGACACGGACGCACCCACTCTGCCGTGCGGTCGTCCTCGTCCGTGGCGAAGCACACCCAGCAGCTCCTAGAACAAACACACACACACCCACAGTTGGGATAAGACAATGAAACATACACACAGGTGGAAAAGTGTTACAGCTGATGACGAGTGATAATGTGACTCTTAACCCAGGATAAATACAGCTTCAGCACTGATAAATCAAATCCATGTGATAAATACTTGTGACTCTTAGAACACACAAGCAAAAGCAAACTACAGAAATAGCTAGAAACTAAACCTGCTTACGATACAGACCGTCCGGGCTAAACGAAGGTAGATTGTCACTATACAAAGGTTATACGAGTTCATGCAATGCAGTCTATTGAGATAAAGCTTGAACCCCCTACATCTGTTGACAATGAACAAGTCTAAAGTCACTGCCGTGTGTGTGTGAGCATCTGTTAGTGTGTGGTAGATGGGAGGAGAGTAAAAGGCTGCAAGCGAGACTAATGTAATCTTCCATGTACCCTTTGAGTGAAAAACGGGCAGTCAGCAACACAAAGTCACTACAAACATGAGTCAAAGGTTTGGGCTTAGATCAGGCTTATTTGGAGTTCTCGCTGAGGAAAGTGTTGGCAAGGCCATTTTTCAGCATTTCGAAAACAGTCAAAGTCGTGATCAAAGCCTCCCAGATAACTTCAGACTGCATGGCCTCGATGAACACACGTGCACCAACGGCATCACTCTGGGCCGGGGACTGCATGAAATCAGCCAAGATCAATACATAAACCCTATAGGCAAACAAGCTGTAGCGCTGACTGCTTGTCAAGCATGTCTGACAGTACCGCAGGAACTGTTCAATGCACACACACCAACGCAAACAAACAGGCCCCTCGCTCTGCCATCTGGATACAAGGTAAAGAATTTCCATGGATTATGTTTCAGATCACAATGTCAAATTCTCCTGCTTTGCTTCGGCAAATATTTGCAAAAAAAGAACCTATCCCTGACTACGCTTTGCATCTAGATTGAGCTACAATCTTCTGACATTGCCTTTAGCATTAATCGCGTTGCTGCTCGAGCCTAAATTCACCAGGGCATCCCTGTGCGTGTGGGACCAAAGTCTTCTGATAAACAGCTAGGATGCACAGTGAAAGCAGTGGGGCGCTGGATGCAGACAAAGTGAGGAAACACTGTCTCCCTTGTGTGTGACATCCAGACAAATGCCTTGTTCTGGCCTCCAGCCAGACCATATTTTATCAGCCCCCCTCCTGGCCACAAGTATCCCAACACATCCTCCTTCCTCTCCCCTAACACCATAACCTCCCACACACAGTGAAGGGCCTTCTACTTAAAACAGATTGTGCCTCCCAACTTACAGCCCTTAGTAAGTTTTGTCCGTCTTCTGTGCCGTCTTCCAATTAACTGGACTCTTTTTGCGAACAATACAACCCCTCTAACCTCCTCTGCTCCATGTCAACCCAACATCTGGGAGGTAATTTGATATCCACCTTCTCTGACCTTACCACAGTACATCTCCGACTGTGACATTGTATTGCTTTTCTATAATTAATCAGCGGTGTGCGAGTAGCTGGAAGGTTTGCCACCCTTGTGTCTCACAGCGTGGAGCTAAGTTCAAGAATCTAGCACAGCGACTTATTTTAGCTGCTATCTACCAATCAAAACACTCATAGCTTAGACCTGATTAATTGATTTTTTTTTAAAAATCAGCAGCATCAGGCAAACACTACAACAGCCAATCTCCTAAACTATGAGAAAGAAGTTATATCAGTTCTTAGGCACAAAAAAAATGTTAAGGCCTGTCTGATATTTGCTGAAATAAAGAAAAACAACCATCTAAATCCCAAAATGTCAAAAAAAAAAATGTCCTTAAAGCCTCATTCATACTTAATTAGTCCTGGGACAAGCCTGTTGCTAGGAGATCCACTGGTTCAGCGGCTGACTGCTGCCTTCGACCTATTTCCAGCCTGACTATCCGCTTGTGATATTTATGTTCTCATTTTCATAATTACACTGAACCTTGAACAGTTGGCATTTCACTGGATGAATGAAAAAATTATTAGTTTACACACACCTCCCATAAACCCCTGGCATATATTCAACGTGGAAAGACAGACTGTAATAGGGATGTTTGGTTTTATTTCTCTAAGGCTGTGATTATCTACATTTTGGGTAGCATTCAAATTAGAACATTTGTGCTACTAAATCTGCAAAAACAAAACAAAACAAAAAAAACCTTCAGATTAATATTCACGATGTCCCCATTCAACTGAGCAAACATCACCATCTACCACCACCAACACACATTGCAGGGCAAGGTTTGTTTCACCACTAAATAGTGGAATTGCACAACCTGAGACCAAATCTATCTCTTTCCATTTCATAATCATGCAAAAAATGTGTTTAAAACTGCACCCAACGTAGGTTGAGAGGTACCAAACAGGGCAGTATCTTCTCTCCAACAGGTTCAGTCAACCTGCTGCCTGTGTCTGAACTGATAAGACGTATCTACAGTTTACTGTTCCATTTCCTGTTTTTAACAACAGGTATGACAAGAATGGAGAAAGCCTGGCCGCTTTTTAAACTCCCAAGGAAGTGAAAAATGTCTCTCACACCAGGAATATTAGAAATACCCAACCGTGGGATGAATTACAGTGCTAATTTCTCTGCCAAGCTGGGAACAAGTGAGACATTTTGACTACAATGTAATTTAGAATTTGCCTCCAGGAGATGCTCTCAAATCAGGTGAATTCAGGTTTCATTGTGCAATAAAACACTTTCCCCATACAAATCAATGAATTTTGTGATAAATAATCATCATCTTAGAAGAGTTGTGACTACCATTTTGGCTCACTTCAAAGTTGTGAGATAAGACATTGGCCTTCAGGATGGCAAGGAGCACATCCTGGATGCCTAGAATACAGAAAGTACCATCACTCTTGCATTGGATTCTTTTCTGCTATGCAAGAATGGAAACAATGTGGTAAGTGTACTCCAGCATTACTCAAGAAAAAACTTTACTCCACTGACCATGACTTCCAATGTATTTGCACTTAAACCACTTGTGTCGCTTGTTCTCAATTTCCTTCATAACTGCAGGAGCATCAACATGTGTGGGTGTTTGTCATGTCACCGGAAGTGTTCTAGTTTAAATCCAGAAAGGAACTTTTACTGCTCTATATGTTAGTGGCAGTTAATTTGGGTAATGGTCACCACGACTAGAGATGAGACAATAACAGCAAACACCTTCATGCAAATATTAAAAAAAGTCACCAAAATGCTTTTTAGCCATGAAGATGAGTGGGTTTCTGAGTCAAATTTTTCCTGTTGCCCCCCTCTAGCAGCACTTCCACAACTATTTTTACATTTAACCAGTGTTTGACTCAGCGAACCCCCCACAGAACACCATGTATGTTTCAACCCTCCTTGCTCCCACAGTTGAATAATGGATGCCAAATCTGTGGCCCTCTGTCATCGTCATACCGAGGACTAGGTGTGCTCTGTTACTGGGGCCACATGAGTGTAGAAGGGGGGTCCTCTGTCAAAGACTGGATGGCCAACTTGGATTATTTGCTCAGGTTGCTGCCTGCCTGTAATGACTGATTTTCCAATGCTCCCCTGGTGCTGAATAAAACATGACAATGCAGGAGAGGAGCCTTCAGGTCGAGGCGCTCAGATGACATGTCCGGCTAAAGGGCCACAGTGGGAACATGGCGAATCGGAGTCTGACGGAAACATTAAGCATCCATTCACACTCCTGTGGACAGTCTTTACTGCAGCCACCCCCTCATGTATGCATCTCACAGATATGCATGCCTACACCATAATGTTTGACATACAATACAGTGATCACATTGTTTTGCAGTGCAAATCCGCAAAAGAAAAAGAAAAATGCACCACGTGGACCAGCGTCCTACACTGGGGGATCTCAAAAGACAGCACAGAGGCTGAAAGCGATGCAGCCATAAAACGTGGAGATGAGAAGCTGAGTAGAACAGTGGACAGATGTCTGCACAGGACCACGACAGCAGAGAACAAAACCCAGCGCTACCTTAGATTCACTGGCTCCTGTTCCTGTAACCCAGCCCCAGAGCATGACAGGACCTAATACAACAGCACCGAAATGCTATCCTCTGCGCGAAACCTTAATCTCCAGCTCACTGTCGCCTCGGCCCTGTTTAACAGAACGCTCGGGCAGATAAGCCTACGCTGCACATGTACAAAATGTCTCCTTGATACAGAGAATTCCTGCGCAGTTTGATGTGAAAACTTGCTGCAAATCAAAAATCTCTCTCAAGAATACAACTGTAGCCAATGACACTAAATTTTTAAAATACGTGAATATTGTTTGCAACACAAGTAATCCTGCAAACCAAGGCTGTTTGCTTGCATGTTTACATGTTTATGAATATTAAAAGAATCTTATGGGTGACACCTGACACACTACCCCATTACTGCCAATCAAGGTCTGGAGGGTTTCCATCAAGATGTCCTGCAAGAACCTGAGATCTGCTGATGGCGACTTGCCTGAACTTCACTGAAGCAAGGTGACCTGCTGTCGTACCCACTTATTTACATGTTAAACAGGCAAACTCAAGTGGGGCTTTGCCGTTTCTACAATGAGCTTTAATCCACCTAATGCTAACCGACTGCTTTGAAACTTCAAGGGCAGGCGAGCAGCACTGTGTATTATCCTTTTGATTTCACCAGTTATTTTGAAAAACCTTCAAGCCGCCAAGATCAAAAGAATGTGCAGCAGCGAGTGACTGTAGATCCTGTCGAGCTGGGCCAATATCATGTGTTCCACCTCAGCTGTGGATGTAATTCAGAAGATTGAAGAAGGCGCAGAACTGTATCACTCAGTCGCATCGACACAGGAGAGTAGGGTCTTACAGTGTGCTCTGAAGGAATACCGAATGACTGTGTGATTGACACTCTGTACAAAGATGAGTGCGACAGCAAAGCAACTTTCTCATCATCTCACAAGTCAGGTTCCCGTTCTTTAAGAGGCGCATAAGCCACCCCACAAAGGCTCCATTCACTCAGCAACAGTCACATGACTG